AGAAACATTTTAAAACGTAGACAAAAACAAATCACACTGGACAACTTTTTAGTGAGACAGAGGCCCAGTGAGTCTGATGCAGAGTCGAGTGGTGCCAAGAGACAGAAAAAAGAAAAAGAATCCCCTTCCAAACAATAACATTTCACTTCCACTTACGCCGTCAACTCTCCTCCATACAGGTACGGTAAAACTAAATTAAGTTTTCGTCTATATTTGATCTGCTTAGTGTTGCGTTTATCTTTTTTGTGATAGATTTAATGGTTTCCATTGATTTTGTGTTAAGAACAAAGTACTGTTGTAAAATTTTAAATAAGCAATCATCTGGGGTCCAGGAACAGATTAATCCATTTTACATTAATTCCTATGGGGATAACAGTTTCGGTTTACGAACATTTCGGTTTGCGAACGACCTTCAGGAACGAATTAAGTTCATAAACCGAGGTTTGACTGTACATATTTGGCAATTTAACAAAGTAATAAAATTAACATAAGCCTAATCACCACTGAAGCGCTCAGCAAACGCACACTTGCATCTCAAATGTCAATCTACACCTAGGTCTGGCAAAACTTTCGGAAGAACTTCCACAAAGTCAGACTGGATAAACAGATCTTAGAGTAAAATATTTAATTGTCACAAAAACTTGCTTTCAATTCCTCTGAGGTTTTGACCATTGTCTCATGTCCCAAGCGTATCATAAATGGAACGATAGCCTCCTCGGCATTTTTCCTCACATCTGCATACAAGTGTGGTAGATATGCCAACAATTTTTTCTCAGGGACAGACCTGGGTGACACTGAAAAAAATAAATTAGCTTCAAATTAGTCACCTTTAATGTCACAAAATTGATCTCATACTGAGACCAAATAAAGATCACTTGTACTGCAGAAAGTAAAGCCTCCACAGACGCAAGTGACCAGATGAGGTATAACTCCTACTCATTCTTGACCTTGGCACTAGATCAGGGTGAGAGGTCGGCACCACACTTTAACTCCAGGGAAAGGACCACCTGAAACCCATCTAATAGGAGGTAGGGTGGACCCCAGAGCCAGCCTCAGACAAATCCGCCCCAGTACCACTTTGTCCACGAGTCCCACATGGACTGCACTGGGAGTAAACCCAGGCCTCCACAAAGCGACTATATTTTGAAACTAAAAGTAAAATAAACACATCCTGATACTTAATTAAACACCGCTCATTCCGTGGCAGCAGATGGATGTGAGTAGTTAGCGTCATTCCTGGCCACTTTATTTCTGAGGTAGAGGAGTGGGCATGGGAATCAAACCCTAGTTGCCAAGCCCGAAGCCAGTCAGACTGAGCTATCCCAGTTCCACATTTAACTATTTGTAAAAGCATCTGATGTACCTGAACATGTGTCTGACTCATTATCGTGAATACAACGTCCAGATATTCAATTTTATATACTTACATGTGGCAAGTATTTCTGTAAGCCATGCCCAAAGTTCTATTCGCAGGGTTGGGCTTCCTCTCTTAAGGGCATATTCAATCATATTACCACGAAAGAACTCCTTAAATCCGCACTGCTGACCCCAAGCATTGACACAATCCGTTGCAGCAGAACGGATCTCAGGCTGAAATGGGTCAATAGTTTCTTTAGAAGTCTTTAAATACAATCTTTGACACAGTGAAAGTTCCTTACATTATCAGAATTTTAACTGCATTTCCGAGATTATTATGCTGCCAATTTATACTAAACTCTCTTCATGGTAATAACTGATAATGATGTCACAGATAGAGAAACTGAACTCAAAATCATAAATTTGAATGCTAGCCCAGACATAAACATTCTCCTGCTACTGGTCTACGATCTCGTTTGTGTCAGGACAAACTTTTCTACAGCTGGTAATGTAATGTGGTTTCTTGTTTCATTGCCCAAGTTGTTTGATATCAATTTATTGTCATGCAAAATATTTGCCACCGCCTGCAACGCCTTCTTCCGCTCCTGGATACAAAAAAGATGGTAGTTTTTGTCACTAGTTTATATATCCTTTACACAGTTTAACTGTAACATAATGTCTTCCATTTCACACTGCAATTTGCATTCTTAAGCTATCTCAGGAATTAAAGCAGAAAAAGTTACAAAATACAAATTTACTACTTTTTAAATTTCCAAATAAATCTGGCTTAATGCAAGCTTACACAAACTAGTTTAACTATAATATTTAAAGTGTTTGTGATTATCACTTGGATAATTTGGAAGGAAAGTGAAAGCATTCAAAATTAGCTCTTCCTCTTTCAAAGTGTTTCTTTTATTAGCATTGAATAGTAAATGTTTTGGGAAGACTTCTAATGGTTACTGTACAAGGGGACAAAGTAGATTACCGTAAGGAACAATCCAATCTAAAATTTAAAATAAATAAATTAATATATCACATTATCCTGGACCAAAAGACATACCTTCCTGTAAAAAAACATCAGTATGTGAGAAACCTAACGCCAAAAAGAAAAATACAAAAGAGGAGCATGCTTACTTTTCAGTCTGTTTGTTTCAGTTTTAACAGAAGATCACGTGTGATATGACGACTTATATCGGCAGGGGCTAATCCAGCATGCTGTAAGGAAACAGAAAGCACTCATCACAAAAATTGGTGGCAATGCAATTCAATAATCTTCATGCTATTATACCCAATGGGAGCGTTGAAAAAACTAATCTCTGGGGCGACAAGTAAGCAAGGAAAGCGAGCAGACATAAGAGAAGAGTTTGGAGGAGGATAAAGAATGACCTGATTTACAGTTTATTTAACGACTCTTTCAGTATCTCGGATTATAAGCGTCAAATGAGAGGATGTGGAAGGAAGTGGTCATGACCAAATTTAAGGTGCTATCCCACAATTCACTTGGAGGGACAGGAAAACTAAGTACTTTGTTGGGTTCGGTTGCATTTTGTATGGTGTACTTTGTGCGCTGGTTATGCTAATTTACCAACTTTTCACGTACAAAACAGAATTCAGAGCCCACATCTCAATGTCAGTGACTCCTTTTAAACTGCTCCCAAAACTGACATCGCAATTATATTTCCAAACATATGGAATGACGTCTGACTTCTTTTAATTACATGTGGGGGAAAAATTCCACCTCTTACAACAGAATTTTACAGCACTTTGTTAACTTTAAAATGTGGCCACAAAACATCTACAGAGAGAACAATAGTGAAAAGTAAAACTCCAATCTTTGTCTTGACCCAAAATGTACAATGTGATTTCACACGTGCCACATCGAAAACACAACCAAGTTACAGATCACAAAAAATGAAATGAATTCTGTTTACCTCGATTTGCACAGGTCCAATTAGCGCCAATTTTGAAACCAGAAAGTCAGAAAGTGAAAAAAAAAATTTGCTATTATTTATATACAACGTTTTAAAATGTTTCTCTTACTGCTTCCTATACTAAATCATAATTCTTGCACTGCAGATTTTGAATAAAATTATAAATACAGTCATCCCTGCAATTTCATTCTATCCCTGCTACTGGTCCTGATATTTACATAACTGCTGCTAACCTCATCACATGTCAATAGGACTGAAACCTGACAACTCTCGACATAGGGTAACTGTCACATGTATCGAACCAGACTACCTATCACCTCTAACAGTCATCTACTGGGCTTGAGATTTTTGCAAGCCAATCTAAGTTCATAATGAATACCCAACCCCAAATTTACATGCATTATTACCTATCCCCTTGCTCAACACAGCAAACTCTCAAATTTACCACAAGCTCCAATCACTGTGCACACTATACTCACACGTCAACAAAACTAAATTTTCTTACATTGGCACTTCTTCTTCTATGGCCTCCTCAACTCCCCTCTTCCATTCTGTCGGAGGCTTTGATCTTCCTTTTTACGGTGCAAGGTTGTTAGCCTTGCGACCAACCCCCAACCTGGAGGACCAGGGTACCTGTCTTAGTCTGACCTCTCCCCCTCGACCAATCTGGCTAGGGAGGCCCTACCAGTAGCTATTGGGGTCACTGAGGTATTGCAAAAATGTATGTTCTTTAAAATTGTTATCTTATGTAAAGGTAACTGATAAGTTGTTATAATACAGACATAATTATTTTGTCGTAAAAATATGTACACCATTGAAATTACGGGGAGTACCTTGCCACTCGGATCCGACGTAATGGCGTGTGACGGCTGTGTTTTGCGTTGCGACTGACTCATTTGCCAGTAGTAAGTACTAGAAATGAAATGGGTTTTTTTTCCCCTTTATTGCTGTGCAAGGTCCTGTCATGTAATTTTTCTGTCGAGTGTTAAGATGAAACAGATCTTAAGGTTACTGATATTTTGAACACAAATTAATTAAAATGGGCGATTAAGGATATTTTTGATGATTTTAAAGATATTTGAGAAAGTTTTGCACTAATGTGATTGTTCCCGTACAGGACGACCGGGTAAAACTGTATTTACAGATATAGAAGACAAAAGTTGTAATATTACTGATGATTGTGCATAAATGTTCTTGCAGGTTGCCAGCTCTAATGGCGAGGTTCGATGAACTGCGAGCAGCTGGGGATCTACTGCCGTCAGCATCGGTTGCAGACGGTGAGTAATACACATCTTTTGTATAAAAAACTAGTAATTACAAGGAGATTTTTTGGTGGTTAAGTGGGTCATGGCATTTCTGCTGTGCAAGTACACTGTGTCGGTCGCCATCTTTATAGTACGTCAGTAGTGGCGATAGTGATACGGTATCAGTGTCATATTTTAAAGTTTCTTAACTTTACAGGATGGAGCCGGCGTAGCTCAGTCAGTATAGTGACTGGCTACGGGCTGGGCGATCGGGGTTCGATCCCCGACGGGGGCAGAGGGTTTTTCCTCTAGCCTCTGCGTCCAGACCGGCTC